TTCATATTCATGAGGTAAACCTGAAAATGCAATGAAAATAAAAATGTGATTTCCAGATGTGGAAAGTAATAGAAACATAATCAAATGGCAAAATCCATGATAATGTCTTAGTGCATGTATCAAAATTAATCCTCCGTCGGGCCACATTGAAGTCTTTCGAGAGACTTTCGTACACAAATAATTTAAAAATCTCCCTATTTCAAGGATTGAAACTTGGCACACATACAGGCAGATGTTATTTTGCTGAAACTAGCATAGCAATGCACAGGACATATAGGTTTACCAATATATGCACACAAATGCACTGTAGTTTAAAACATCTCAGTGCATATGATGATATTCGTAACACCTCTGTAACCTTTTATCAAGAACCTTTTTTGCTAAGGTTCTTGAATTACCTATATAATTATTTTGAGATACAGCTAGAAAAAAACACAATGTTACAGGTTCTTCAGATTAGCGTTTTGTGTGTTTAGTGTGTTCATATGTGATTGCTAGGCTTGTCTGGGTGGTTTTTAGGGTGCCGTTGTGTGGTTGTTATTGTAGCAGAGGCAAGCTAGTAAGAGCTGTGTGTTTAAACCTCACTCATCTAGCCCAAGAGTCATGCTAGCAACTGACGCTAGAAACTGCGGTCTTCAGTGTCCTTGTTAGCGCACCCACCTCCTCCTATGCTGCGCTGGAGACGACGACTCGAGTCCCGCACGGAGCGAGTAGCACCAGTAACATTTGGTGCCGTGACCCAGATGTGAGTGAGGTTTAGGGGGGTGAGTGTAAAGGCCAATTTAAACATTTATACATTCATACAACATTCAGACACAATAAAGTTAAAAAAAAACACAAGCAGGTTATAACTGTTGTGTTTTATGTCATAGATCAAAACGTGAAAATATTTAGAGGCTTTGTTCAAAAAACCCATAGACTTCAGTGCTAAAATGCTAACTCACTTCTGCGTTTTGGCCTACAAAGTGATGTCATAACTTCAGCACTACATGTGCTAGGGTGTTCAGAGTGGTTTTAGAGTGCTGCTATGCATTTACTTTTGATGTCCCAGGTGGTTTTTAGTGCGTTGCTATGTGGTTGCTGGGGTGTTTGGGGTGGTGCATAAATGGTTAGATCTAAATAATTATAGTATAAAATGTGATGGCAACAGCCTATAAACCCCTTTTCAGTTATAAGTGGAACGTTTATTTTTAAGGGATGCTCCACAACATCATGAAAATCTGTCACGTCCTCGACCACACTGCTATCTCCTTGTTCAGACCCTTCCGATTTCATGGCCATATCACAGCAACTCCCTCCTCGACTGGTCCCCTCCCCCATGAAAACCTTACACCCCTTTCTATAGGCAGCTCTTTCAGGCGGGAAAGTCTCCATGAAGTTCTCTCATGTCTGCTCCTGTAGGACTGGAATGGGGGAGGGGTGTAGTGGGTGTGGCCGCTGAGTTTCAGGGGAAGGAAAGGGGCACTGAAGTGATCTGCGCCACGCACGATTACAAAGCTACTAACTAAACATACATGTGAGAGTGAGATCATTGTGCATGTGTGATTACATCAGAGAGAAAACACACAACAAAGTGTACAATGAGGTCCTTACAAGTCATGGCCACAATCTGAATGTCCTCAGTGTTTGGTTTATCTCAATGGTTCACATGCTAAACACCTACAGCACATACTGCAAATGTGTTTACTTACAGTGTCAAACTATGAAATTTCAGTAACTTATTAATATAAAAACTTAACAAGACTGAAATACTACATGTTGTTGCTTTTTTTAAGCGGTTGCTTGTTCTGGGTGGTTTCTAGGGCGTTGCTATGCATTTACTTGGGTGTTTTGAGTGTTGCTATGTAGTTTCTTGGGTATTATGCATTTTTGTTGCTGCGTTTGCTGGTGTTCTGAGTGGCTTTTTTAATGCATTTCCTGCCGTGGGGTTGCTCATTTATTCTGAGTGGGTTTAATGTGTCGCAATGCGGTTTCTAGGATGTTAGGAAGCCGTTTGCACATTGCTATGTGGTTGCTGGGTGTTTTGGGTGGTTGCTAGGATGTTGCTAGGCATATTGGCCCAAGTCAAAAGAGTCATTTTGACTGTCCTTTCTTTTCTTTTTTCTTTCTCATTCTTAATGATGATGTGGTGGCTTATTCTAAGTTACCACATTAGTATGTGTTTTTTTATGGCAGAAACTAATGTTAGCCTATACCATTGCAAATTCTTTGCAAGGAAAACTTTTGTAAAGATGCATTGTTAGGATCCGTATGAATAGATTCACAATGGGACGCGTTTGATGAGTAAGATTAAGATACCCAGGTCACCTTGAGGTATTTCCAGTAGCTTGAACAAAAGCCTCTTTGAGGGGCAGCACTTCCTGTGGTTCATCCAACCATCTGCCACAACATCTTACTCACTCGACCGCCTTTATTTTACGCTCTCTGTCATTATATAATTTGAACACTGACATTTAATTAGGACCTTGTAGTAAAATCGTCCAGGCTTCAGTTTTGATTTGGTTTGAATGTCTGTTTGGCTCCACCCAGACTTGTACAGGCATGCAGAAGATGATGAATAATAAAAATGTTAAACATAATATTTGTGGTGCGGTCTAAAAGCCTACCAGTAGTTGACTAAGAAAGGTTAGCAATGTGATTAGGCAAAAAACCCCACAAAATTATTTTTAGGGACACATAGAGATTAAACTAGCTCAGCTTCACTGATGAGGTCTTGCAGAAATGACTACGGCCACAGACGGCTCGAGTGAACTCAACTTATTTTGGAAGTGCAAGTGCAACTCAGTGACTATATGGATCAGTAAGTGGATTTCTCCTCGAGCGAATGGCTGCCTGCCCATCTGGACATGCACGTAAAGCCCAGATTACACAGAGTAATGGTTATGCAGCAGGGGTCAGTGGGAGGGGAGCAGACAGAGCTCATCGCCAGTACAGTATTAAAAAAAAAAAATTTAACCCCAAATATCAATGAAAACACATTATGTATTTACAGACATAATGTTTTAAAGTTTTTTTTTTTTTCAGTACGAAAACGAACCACGCATAATATATAATAATATAGAAAAATTACTTTTTTTTTTTTTTTTGGCGGATTTGTTATTGATTACATTTGTACAACCACAGTTTTACTACAAATACCATGGTTAACCTAGTTAGTGTTGCAAAACCATGGTTCATCATGGGTGCATTTGGTTTTACATGTTGGAACTGTCACGTTAACATTTTTGCTCACTTGACGTTTTTGCCCCAAGGTTTAATGTAAAATACATGAAAACTAAAATATGACTGATGTAAATTACATGAAAACTAAAATATGATAATTGTTATGGTGCATGCACACTACTGTTGTCAACAGATTGATGTAGTAGAGCTCAAGAAACAGCTGTGAACAAGTATCGCTTTAACTGGCGGACTGACTCTCTTAACAGCTTTAGAGATTTCTTAGAGTTGCGCCCTTAGACAATTGACATCATGGCTGACCAACTTTTCTTTTGTGATTAAGCTTATTGTCTCAAACCTCAGTGAAAGCACACAACAGGTCTAATCATGGGTGAATTAAAGAGATTAACAAGGGACTTTTGTAACTTCAGTAACTCTAGATGATAATGAGGGACACAGCAGTGGATTTAAAAACCCTGTAGTGGTATTGGCACCTTCACAACATGGTCAGTCAGGGCCGGACAGTGTCTCTTAGCCCCCTCCCCCACCTTTGCGATATAGGCTATTTCCTGTTTGAGGCACAGATGTCTATAGCTTATATTCTGCTGTTTGTGTATTAGATCCACAGCACCACCCGGTCAGCCTGCGAAAGTGATTTCCAATAAATATAAGGGTAATTTCACAAAAAAATTAAAATCGACAGATCATGCTGGGTAAATCGTAAGCCCCCTAAAACAGGGTTCAGTTTATTTCTGCTTCCTTCTTTTTCATAATGTTATCTCCTTAATGCTTAATAGCAACACAACACTATGCCGTTCACAATTTATAAGGCTTTATGTCGAACAGACACCGGAAAAAACGCCATTTTCTAATGTTTTATTTTCTGTTTTTCCATGTAGGAGCGCATTACACCACTAGAGGGCGACAAAAGCAAAGATATCGCAGGGAACGCTAGTGTTTGCATTTGAGTTGTGTACTCTGAGATTGATGTAATTCTCCACAATACAGGACTGCACTGCAGACAGATTTCTTTCTTTCTTTCTTTTTTTTTTTACATGAAAGCTAAAAAAAACTTGAGGCTTGGCACTGAAGAAAATGCTGTAGGTTGGTTGATCTAAATATATGGTGATACACATATAATACTTGATTTTTCAGCAATGAAAAATATAAAAAATATAGCTATAATTGTACAGCCTACTATTCTAGTATTATAATATGAAGCTGTTTGACCCAAATATTGTTTTGCTACAACTATTAGAATTTGCCATCTGTCTGAAAAATCTTTTATGGTAATCATTTTATTTAATTATTTAGTTGTGTTTTTTATCTCCAGCATGAGCATTAATTATTAGTGCAGGGACTTAAAATAAGTCAAGCAAAATATGCATATAAAAAAATGCATAAATAGAAAGAAATTTTTGAATGAAAAAAAAATGAAAATACAAAAAGTTGTGGGAGAAACTACTTCCAAGGTCAAAGATCATAGGGAGGTGATCAAATTTTTCTATCTTTTTAATGCTTTTTTAAATGCCATGAACATCCTACACAATGTAAAGAAAACCTGAACAGTGAAAAGGAAAAAATAAACAATTATACAAGATTAAAAGTGTATAGCCTAGTAATTTCCCTTTCCCTTAAAAAAAAATTGTGTTACTCTGTTAATTAGTTAAGTGCATCGCTGTTAAGTGCATTGTTTAATGTTCATGTGGCAGATGAAAAGTAGCCTAATAATATTAAAATATTAATGAATACTCACCATCCACTTTTATGGGAAACAACGTCAGCATTTTGTAAGCCAGAAAATCTTTTTTTTTTTTTTTTTAAGGTCCCTGTGAGGTCACACTTCCCCAAAGCTCAGAGCCTGTGAGGTCGCCTCCGTCTGGGTCCCTGTGCCAATTCTGCTTTGCTCACCGATGCAGGAAACCGAAGAGCTCGACAGGAAAATCTGCAAGATTTCAGTCATCACATTTTCACAATTCACTAGTAAGTTTTCTCGCAGCTCTCTGAAGTTTTCCATTCTGATGGGGCGTCGCAGCATTCTGTGGTCAAATATACACACTTCACACTACGAAGATATTTTGAAGAATGTTGGAAACCTAAAAGTTGATGAGGCTCATTTCTACCATACTATTAGTCCCTATGGGACCCATCAACGGATTGGTTTACCAATATTCTATTAAAATGTCTTCTTTTGAATTTTCCTTTAAGTGGGTCAAAATCCTAACCATAACCAAAATATCAAAGCATTTGATAAGCCTACTCTTTTTAAAACTATACAAAAATGTAGGCTACTTCTTTTTCTAAAAATGCTAATTCCATTTTGGCAATTCTAGTGACCGAACTATTGGACAGCTGTGCCCCTGCTCGAAACCTTTGTCTTTGACCTTGTGCTGTTTCTCTCCCTCCTATTGACTCTAATCAAATGTGTGACCCGCCATCTCATGGCTCTCCATAGGTGCAGTTCACACTCAATACTGATAAAGAGCCTCACTGCCGCCCCCTGCAGGCTGACTCGCATCTGCCCCCTCTGCATTAACTCACTGCCGCCCCCTGCAGGCTGACTCGCACCTGCTTTGATATTTTAGCCATAAACAAAAGAAGTAGAAAGGCACACTTTTACTTAGTGCCAATGTTGACTCGTCGATTCATCACTCTGTTGAGAATGTCTTGTGTGTTAACCCTGAACACACTCTGGGTTGGCTGACCTTACTCTCGGACACATTTGGGTCAATCAACCGAGAGTTTAGGCCGTGTTTGACGGCAATATAACCTTGCTTTCTGGATTCAGTTTGATTCAGGAAACACCAAATCACAAATGTCTAACATGAATGCACAAAAGTCACTTTGGATAAAGGATCTATCAAATGTGTTAATCTTAATAAATGTATATTTCTCAACTTTGTACATTCCTCTTTAAGGTTTGGTTTGGTTTTATCCCAGTGATGGAGTAAAGCTGGTTGGACAACAGTCTTAGTTAGTTGATTTATTGTCATTGGAAGGTGTTTCCCTGCAGGACAACAAAACAAAACCAGTGTTTCCTGGAGCCACAGGGCATATAGTTTTATGTATGAAGACAATTTGTGTGTCATGCTGACTGCGTCATTGTTACGTGTTTGCATAAGTTCGTCCCTGTATACAAGCAGCTGATGCCCAGGTAACTAAACTAACAGAAATGCCCAATAGCCAGAGACTTCCTGGTTTCCTCAATGTCTTTTTTGTCTTTAGGGATGTGAACATCACCTGTAGAAGTGGCTTTGCACAGACAGTGATGAAGATTTGATAATAAAATCCCTGTTGTTGACACTGTAAACTCATTTTTTCTTCAGTGAAACTGGGTGTGTCTGTTTCAGAGGATAAATCAACTGCGTTCAAACACATGGCCTGAACACAAACAGATGAGTCTTGGGCTCATGCACCCCAACAGACAGAAGAACACCTTCTCTGACATGTCAACGTGACTTCAAATCCTCACGAGATCTGCAGACGTATGCAAAGCAGACAGGCTTGTTGGGTTTCGCCTGCATGGTGATGTTGGCTTTAATAACACGACGGGCTGGACTTTGGCCCATCTGTAGGCCGACAGGTGATCTTACGAAGGGCCGTTTCTCTGTTTTACTGGATTAAACCCTGATTCTCTCCATGGCATCGTTTGGAGGTATGTTGTTCAAGATATTGAAGTTCTTACTATAGACTAACTTTTAGTTTCAGTGAAAGGAGCATGTGGTTTAAAAAACCTGAAATCTGTCAAACCTGTTCTAGGGTGTGAACTAATAATGTAGTAAGACAAAATGTACTCATGAGCAATAGCACGTAATTATTTTATGATGTATATTGTGATATATGAGTTAATAAAGATAAAGTAATGTTTTGAGCAGAAAAGCTAAACATTTTGAAAAATTAGAAAGATTTGCACATAATGTTCATGACAAAGACACACCTATTAAACAAAAGCAAAGGAGAAATTCCTGACGCTTGAAATCAAATTTCAGGGTTGTGTCCCAACAGTTGGACTGCCCTGTTTACAATGATGTGCATTTATTTTAGGATGCTGGTGTGACGATTACTAAGGAAATATGGATGTTTTTAGACTGGGTCTTTTTCTTCTGATCACCGTGGGTGAGTTTTCATCTTCAGCCACAGTCACGCATTGAAATAAATACATTTCTTAATCAGTAAAAAGTACAAATAGATTTTATTTTATTTATTTTATTACTCACTAGTAAAATATGTGTAAACCACACAAAATTTATTCTAAAATTATTTTATCTGAAAACATGTCTTGTTATGTTACACAATTACAAAACCCACATCCCTACAGAGGTCAACTTGTTAGGAGAATGGATGGATGTATGATTAAGAAAAATATTTTCAAACTGTGGAATACTTTAATAGAGTTCAATTTGTAATTTTGATTTACAGACTTTGAAAAGTCATTGAAGTTAGTGCCATTTTATAATGGAATGGAGACTTGTCACTTTTTTATTCTAGTCTATATTTCTCAGGGCAGGTAAATATTTGATTTGATCACACTATATGAAACTGCCATTTATTATTGTTTTAAAATTGTAATTATTAAATTGTGTAAATTGAAAACATTTTAACTTAAATGGTTTTTTAAACCTAAATGACAAATGATGACACATTTTACACAAACTAATTGCTAGAAGAAAAACATTTGTGTCATTTTAACACACTTAAACTCCACAAATTTGTGTAATTAATTTTGGACATTTGACAATTAAATCATTGTGACAACTAGCCCTAGTTTTAAGTTTTGCTCAGTTCTTTATTAAGGCACTTTTGTTTCATTTCAATCGGGAAAACCAAGAGAAGGTCTAAAATATAATTACATATCTATAATGCTTTTTACTAGAACAGAATGACCATCAGATTTGTCATATTGCCAGCAGGAGTGTCCGCGGAGCTCCAGCCGCTGAATGCCGCGGTGCTTCGTGGTTCCGAGGCTCGGTTCAACTGCAGCAGAACTCTGACCTCGTCTGTCATGACCTGGACAGTCAACGGAGTCTTGGTTGTCACCATTACAGAAGCATCTGGAGTGCTGAACCCCACAGAACGTTTCTCTGTCACAAATTTCACCACGCCTGGAAATTACAAATGGGAGTTTACAATTCGCAACGTGCAGAGAAACGATACTGAAGTCGGCTGTCAGTTAACGAACGAAGGGATTCAGAGAGCCACTCTGTCTGTGCAAGGTGAGCTATTGTGAATCATTTCACCTGGTCCATGACACGACGATACACCTTAAACATATGACGTATGGAGTTTTTCTGGAGTATAGAAAATGTTTACAGATATGACAGAAAGTGAAATATGATAGTATGAGATGAGAGAGCAAGTGTTAAGTGCATATTACACGTTAGAGCGTTGTTGCTGTTCACGGTCAGGGACTATTTTTTTTAGCGGAAGGACGGCTTTAGTAATTTTACTTCATGAAAGTGGCACTAATACATATTTTTTACTGTAATATTTTTATTGTGTGGTAACCGTTTTATAAAAGCAAAGGTACTCGAGGCAAGTGCTGTATCGAAGTAGCTCGGTCGCGTCGAGCCTAACAACGCCCTTCGGTCGTCACTTATTCACGATACAGCACAGCCTCGAGTGTGACACAATTAACTTTCTATTCATCAAAGAGTCCTGAAAAATGAACCGAGGTTTGTAGTACAACTGTTTTCAACTGTTGTTGAATCATATTAGAAGGTTTCTGAAGGATCATGTGACACCGAAGACTGGAGAAATGGTGCTGAATTCAGCTTTGATCACACAAATACAGTTATTTACATGGGGACAGCTGAATGTTTTCGAACTGGTTTTCAATGTTTAATTATCCTCCACATCAGCCAGCGCCTACCTTCTTGCTTAAAGCTTCGTCTTTGAGTCTGAGTGAGTTCCAGCCCCTCCGTCCATATGCTGATCTTTTCTACAACCTTTAAGCTTTACTCAGCAATTTTATGCATGACAGAGCGTAATATACAGCATGAACATTCCCAGAGAGTCTCCTTAAATATATCTTTGCTAATTATTGCCCTCATCAGCACTTAATTAACCCCTGTGGACCAAAACACATCAGGAGTAATTGTTTCTCCAATGACCAAACTGAGACTTAGGAGTTTCACTTAACATTTCAACAAAGTCCCAAACTGTTGTCAGATTTGCCAAGACAAAGTCAAAGATCGCAATAGAAACTCAAATATTCTCTCCATATTTCTCCTAATCCAAATGATATTCATTATTACATTTATGATATATTATTTTACATTTTAATATTACTTTAGTCTACTCATGGGAAAAGAGTAAACACCATTAACTGTTGCTTATTAGGATATTGGCAATTATTTATTGGTAATTACTATTAATAAGCATAATTAGAAGTTTACTGAGGTAAAAGTCCTAGTTAATAGTGAGAAGTGTACCCTAAACTACATGTGACCAAAATAACTTACATTAGTATGTTTAATTTCTTTCTATTTCTATTTCTCGTCAGCTAACATGAAACGTTTTCAGAACATCCACTCAAGGTTTGAAGGAACGGCCTTGCACTAAAGTTAAGAAAATAAAATGTTCATTCAAAGTTATCTGGTGTTTAGTAATGTTCTTGAAACATTAGCACAAAAACACTATTTAAAATTGGCCTTTTTTCCCCTGAAAAGTTAGGGTTAGGTTTTAACTTTAAAAAATAATTATAAATTAGAATGTTCCCTTATTGTTTGTATTAAAAGAAAGCTTAAAGTTTTTTTCATAACATCAGCAAAATGTTCTTAGAATATATATTTGTTATATTGTTAGTTGGGTTCTTACACTGACCAATACGTGTCCTCCTGAGCCATGAAAGAGTAATAAAGCAATAAAATGTTCCTCAACTGCAAAATAAACGACACGTTTGAGGAACCCTGTGTTTCTCGTTCATTCATTTTTTTTTTAGATGCTTGTCAGATGCAACATCAATGTTTTATTTAAATCGGAAGATTTCATCATTAAAAAAATCTCATAAGAAGTTTGATGTTGTTATTTTTCCATGTAGGCCCATCAGAGTCTTCAGAATCAGACTGAAAACAAGCCAAAATTGGGACATTTTGAGTTTGTCAGTCACATACACTGATATAAGTTCTTCATTCTTGAATGCATTATTATAAGTGAATGTTTTGCTCCAGAACTGTCAGTGTTTTTATGGTGGACCAAAGAAAGTACAAAGTACAAGGCAGCACACAGCAGATGTTATCAGCTCCACCTGTGAGTCACGGCTTCACCTGTCCTGCGCTCCCGTGGGAAATTATCCGATTACATCCCAAAGTGCAGATGATCAATAATAATCTACTTCTTCATTTAAAGTGGACCATGTTTCAAGACATGCTGAAGCATCACTAAAGCAAACTCACAAATCCATAGTGATTATGGCAGAGTGTGTGTTTAGGAGATAACTCTGCTCTGTTGTTCTCCAGAGCGTGGCAGCGTCGAGATCGTTGGTGGAAATCAGACTAAAGCGGAGGGAGCCCAGGCGGACTTCCAGTGCCGGGCCGTGGGCTGGTTTCCCGAGCCCAGCATGTCCTGGTCCGTTAATGGAGCGGAGCAATCCTGCAACAGAAGCTCTGTGACGGAGGGAAGTGTGTTTAACTCCAGCTGCACGTTGACGGTCACTGCCATCAGAAACTCTTCTGTTCAGTGTCTGGTCACGATCCCTGCCCTGCTCACGCCGGAGAGCAACACGGCCTTTCTGACCGTCAATAAGATCAGTATGTTTTTCATCAACAAATATATTAGATCATAAATTCTAGTAAACAGGGTTTGATTCCATGTTGTTTTTACAACCACAAATCAGAACAGTTATTGCAGGAACCGCTAGAGGGCGCTGCAAACACCGATCCAGCAGTTTAGGGGTTTTAGGGTTCAATTAATACCCTTTAAAGGGTAACTAAACCCCTGGTCAGAGCCTGACTCCACCCACTGGCAATATTTGAAAATTCTGAAAAAGTGGGCAGACCCCAGCGGAGATAGAGGGGACGAAATAGATGCTAAAACACTCTATCCTGATCGTTTTCAATACTCACAATTCCAATTCCTGACTCCCTACAGTGGTTTTGACGACACAAGATGGTTTGTATACTGCCAAGGGCGTAGCTCGCGTGGTGAGCTGAAACCTGCGTACGTCACGAAGTGCAGAGAATTCAACTGCAGTAGCCACCGTTCAACCTGAAGAGGGCAGCACTGAGACGCTTTTATAGAACACTTTATAAACAAATGTCAAAAAAGTTACTCGAATCAATGACTGGTATTAATAAAGATCCATTCTTACAGATCATTAACTAAAAAAAGTTGGTTAAGTGTTTAATTACTCTTTAAAATGATGCTTGATTCTCTTATTTCTTTCTTTTTATTAAACAGCTAAAAGAGACCAGACAGTGTTGATCGCGATCACTGTTGCCTTCAGTGCTGCTGCTCTGTTGTTTCTAATCATCTATGGAATCGTTTTCTTCTGCCTTAGAAGAAAGAAAAGTGAGTATTTGTGGGGATGGACCACAATTTCCATTCTAGTTGCAAGTGTGTTACTAACTGGACCATATAACTAGACAAACAACATCTTGTTTATGTAATTCTTCTTGATCTGGTATCAACTCATTTATTTCTTCTTTTCTGCAGAATCAGGCTATCAAGAGGAGATCAAGAGGTGAGAAACGAGCTTCAGTGTGTCTTTCGGATTTAGGAGGGATTTGAAAATATAAAATAATGTGAAATTGAGCAATCATAGCTTTTAATCTCTTTATTGTTGTAAGTGAGTCACTAACAGGTCTGAGCTCCCGTTTCAGGGCACAAGTCCAGGCCCAGAACAGGACGCCTGCCTCACAAAATGTGCGAGGACGGGACAACCGAGGATATATTACAGATGGACATGATGGTGTGTATGCATAAACAAACACACACTATCATCACATATGGGCATGTACTGGTTTGACCTAAATTATGTTGAACCAAAGTCTTTGTGGTGTATTCAGGTTTCACCTGAATTTTATATATATATATATATATATATATATATATATATATATACAGTACATATATATACATTAGGAAATGTATGAATATACATTAATTTATGTTGCACCTGAATTTTATATACAAAGTATATATATATATATATATTAGGGCTGTGCAAAGATTAATTGCGATTAATCTCATCCAAAATGAATGTTTGTGTTTACATAATATATTTGTGTGTGCTGTATATATAAATACACACTCATGCATGTATATATTTAAGAAAATTTGTTATTCATATATAAAATATTTATATTTATATAATATATATTATGTATTTATATATATATATACAGAATTTAAGCGCAAATAATTCTTAAATATATACATGAGGTATTTATATATACAAAATAATTAAATACAGCACACACATTATGTAAACACAAACTTTTATTTTGGATATATATATATATATCTCGCTTGTTTTTTTTTTTGAATAAATAAAAATTAATTAAAAAATAATATTATCAAATTTATTTAATTTAATTTAAATAACTAAAACAGTGCAGATCAGCCCAGAATATGATGCACTAAATGGTTAAGCATTGTATTTACAATGTTTTTCTATGGAAAATGCTTGCATTTATATTCTGGGTTTATCTGCTTGCTTGTGCATTGTATGCATCATTAATAAGATGTATATTGTATTTGGTCTTATATCATTGCCTTACTACATTACATCACATACTGCCTTTGCAACGATAACTGGTGAGCAATGGAGGAATGCCTGTGTTTGCCCTCCAGTGTCCTATAAGACATCACATGGAAACTATGAATAAGTGATTATTGCATTCAAAATCTGTTACAAAAACCTGCACACAAGAAACCTCATTTTACTTTTTTTCATTGCCATGTACTTTAATGTCAGGATTCAGTTTGAATGAAATATAAACCATGATATTAAATATAAACTTCTCTTTCCTGCAGGACACACTACCGACGGAGTCTGGTTTACAAACTTTAACAGACCTCAGGTGAAGCTTAAACTCCACATGAAACCAAAACTTCACTTCCTTAACACATTTTCCTGATCTAGTTTTAAACGATCAATCAATTATTATTCCAAAGAAAAAGCTAAGTGCCCCTATTGTGCTTTTTCGGATGTTCATGTAGTGTGTCATATAGCTGTTTGTGAATGTAAAAGGTCTGCAAAGTTTCACGGATCATAATGCACAAAAAAATTAGTTATTATCTCCCAAAAGAAAGAACTGATTCTGAACTGCCTGAAACGAGTCATCCCGCACAATACACTCTAAAAAATATAGAGTTAAAATATAGAGTGCTGTAAATTGGGGCAGCGTAATAATCTTTCATCAAAATATAACTGTTAAAATCCACTTTGCACCTAATATTCTCTTATGAAATATGCCATATTATGGAAGTAAAAAGGGTTATGAGTGTCTTTCATGTAAACTTCAACATTTCGATGCTCTTAACTTGCATGATTATTTGTATGTATGATACAAATCTTTGTTTTTTCAGAATCTTGATGAGTTTTTTGAAGAAGGTCCCAGGAAGCACAGGCACATGACCCTCGTATAGAGACTGCTGGGATTCGCAGAAAGCAGATGTTCTGGCTTTCTTCTCTCTTGTGCATCAAATCCTCATTTTAGGTTTAATTACAGAAGAAAGAAAGCTCGAGGGACTCCATATCAGCACCTGGACTGGATTATTTATTGCAACGCAGAAGCGTTTTCTCAGTGATCTCAGACTTTCCGACCCCACTGAATACTGTATATTTTTACCAACAGTGTATGTTTGACATAATGAGCTGACATATTTCCATATTTAACAGATAACATGATCAAAATAAGTGTGGTTGAGAGGTTGGTTATCAGTGTCTGATTCGTCATATGAACAAAGTAGATCAGATTTAGTGTTGCATGTGCACAATGCATCAGATGCGTGCATTCCCACAGCAGGTTTGTTTGAATCATCCATTGAACATCCTGTTTTCTCCAGAATTATAAAATCATCAGCATATGGCACAACACAACACACCCCGTGAGAGATTTGCTTCCTGTTTTTGGAGCTGCTTACAATAACACCAAAGATTTTTTCATGTGAAGTGTTTAGAGAGGACCATCTTATGTGACACATCACGCTTCACGGAGCACGATGCGGTTAAAGAATTAATCCAAACCACTGATCTTTAACTCCCCGCAGGAGAAAACTGCTTAAACTGCTCAATTACATTATTTATACAGGGAAGTGTCATCAAACGGATTGGAACTATATGGCATATCACTTCAAAATAAGAAATTCAGATTAAATTTACTAAGACCTTGTTGTAGTTTTCACCACATTTCTGCAGCACTAAAATCCATAAAATGATTTATAAGGATTTTAAACAACTGTTTTAAAAACCTATAGGTATAATTAATGTGATGCAAAAATGGGCGTTGCACAAACCTTGTTTTTGGCTCTTATTGTTTTAAGCTTAAATCTCAGAAAATGTTATTAGATTTATGTTTAAAACGCAAAAAAAAAAATGCCAGTGAGATATGTTTACCTCAATTTTTATCTAATTCAAGATATGCCCTTTAATATCTCACACTGGTTTTATTTTTGCTTCTCGGGATGTTTGGATATTTTATTCTGGAAATAAAGACAAAATCCTGATTAAAATCCTCAAAATTATATTTAACTAATTATATTTTGTCTGATAGATACCATATTTATGTGAGAATGGTTCTTAGCAATAAACACATTTTTGTACATTTATTTGTATTAATTTGTCAAATCGTAATGTGTGTGTTTATACAGTGTATATCAAACATTTTCTTGGTCCCTATGAGGAAACCAATTACTCAATATTCATATTTAATAATGTTTTATTGAAAATGTAAAAATACAGAAAGTTTTCTGTGAGGGTTAGGGAATTGAATATACAGTTTGTAGATACAGAACAAAAATCATGTCTGGAAAGTCGTAAAACATGAAATGTATTTCAAGGAAAATCTGTTCACTGTGCGAGCGTGTATAATTTGCTACACCTAGACAGCTATTACGGGCATCTTAGATCAAGTCCTAATTTGTTTAAAGGGGGAAACATGACATCTCAAAAAATGCCAGCCGAACTCACAATTAAATAACATATATTTTAAATCAGCAACAAATATCTGATATGAATTGTCCCGTAAATGCAGTTTCTAAATTAGTCCCCATGCTGCCTTATCGCAGCGCGATTTTATTCGCGCCGAAAGGTCTAGATACCATGGCAACATTTTCGCCTCATTTAGGGAACCAATCACAGAACGGGGAGGGAGCAGCAAGACGATGACGACATCTATGCGACACACACAGCAGTTTGTTTATATCTATGGATTCAACATGGCAGCAGACGCGAAGCTACCTTTTGATGCAGCCTTAGATATTGTTTTAAGTAGCTTAGAATGCAAGTTTATTTAGAAAAAAGAGCCGCTTTTGGCACTTCGCGAGAGCCCAGTCGTTATTGTTGTCTCGGCATTAATCGCCCTAATGGAGGACCGGGTATAGGAGGCGGTCAACCTTGGAATATCTGCCGCTCAGCTGTGTCCCGAGAAAGAAAATGCGAAAGTATTGTCGATACCAACTTCTGTTCGGCAGTCCCGAAGCCTGGATGAGCGCAAAGTGGCAAGACATGTTAGCCAGCCACGGAGTTGTACCAACCTACAAGGCATCGTCGTCGACGAAGTCCATTTAATTTATAAATGGTAAGTGCTATTTATTAATATCATATTGTCATTATGCCTGTTAGACTACTGTGGTTGTCACAGTGCCACTACGTTGTGTTGCTTTTCAATATCAACGTACAGCTAAGTTACTGCTTTAGCATAACTTTCAGCTGTGCACACGTACCCGATTAAAGTTCTTGACACTTAAGTCATTAAATTACAAATTTTTTTAACTTGAGAAATACAAGCACAAACAATTTCCAATGCAAATAACAACTTCAACATCTATGTTACACTGTACTTAATACTTGTGTTTTTCTAATTGAAATGATTGGCTATAGACCATTTCACAAGATGTAAACAACACTGGTCCAGAAGCACTTCCTGTTTCAGTTTGTAACTGTTTTCTTTATTTCACATGTAAAGAAAACATCTTAAAGTTTGTTTAACTTTTTGATTCAGTTTTAAATGTTCTGTTGGTTGTATTTTAGCCCAGCTTTTATGTAGTGTTAAAAAATCTGAAACAGGAAGTGCTTCTGGACCAGTGTTGTTTACATCTTGTGAAATGGTCTATAAGCAGAGAATGTCTAATTGAAGAGAATTGGCACTGGCTGGTTACTTCCGGTTTCTGGACTGGCTGCAGTAACACGTCTGTGTCCATGCGGGGGCACTCACGGTCGAGTGCAGAATGAATGGGAGTCAATGGCGTTTCACCCAGAAATCCACTTTTCTCAGGATGTAATTTTTTGTCAAGTAATTTCAAAGTTGCATTCAAAGGGGAGGAAAATTGCATTTTTAAGTTCACTTATCTGTTCTAAAAATCCGTTCAAAACTGTGATGACGTCACACAATAGCAGAATGCTAGCGTGTTCCGGCCAACAACAGCCTAACCTGTAAGAAATCAAAAGGACATAAGTACTCGTTCATTCGAATTTTGGCCTATAATCTATATTAAACTTGCGGAATCAACAATAAAATCTATGTTAATTTAACGACAAGCAGGTGAAAGAGACACATTTAGCCGTTTAGCCCCATAGACTCCCATTCATTCTGCTCTCGCCCGCGATCACCTCCAGTGGAATTCTAATGGAACTGCAACCGAGATGATACACAACGGGGCTAATAGGAAATGGCAAGGCTCTCCGTTAGACGGGCTCTGTTAATACGTGTGTTTTTCTAATTGAAATGATTGGCTATAAGCTACGTACAGGAACATTTGATAGACATTCTTAGCACCCAATAAACGGCGCCGGGCATTCGTAAATCACGCCTCAAATACGGGAAATTGTGCATGTGGTTCCCAGCGTAAAAAAAAGGAAGAAAAAAAAAAAAAGAAAAAGTTTCCAATGCTCAAATAGCAACACATTCTCACACCCCGACGCTTGGTCAGGACCCCTTGGCTAGGGCTAGTATAATGGTGGCCCAGAGATCATCTTTATCTGGCCCTCCATGTGTGGTTTTTTATGTGTAAAACCCTCACAATCTGATATCAAAGTGCCCTCTCCGCAATTTAGGTTTAGCGCGTTCATAGGCAACCGCATTCATCGGTGGGTTTAGTTAACGCTCAACTGCAGGTAAAGTGGCTTTCAGAGGTGAGTTTAACCAAAACATCTCTAAACTGCATGTAGAGTCAACGCTAAACCGCAAGCAAGAGTCAGGGAAGGCGCTTTCTCAACACTCTCTCTGCAGTGTGTGTCCGAGCGCTCTGCAGTCACTGTGTGAATATTAGCCCTTTTTCATCTTTTCCCTAAAAAAATAATGAATGTTCATAAATAAATAAATAAAGTTGTCTTAATGGGCAGCTGCAGGCTGGCGTCTATACCCCTGTGGCCTGTTAAGCAGTGGAGTCTTCCTCTTCCTCACGCCTCACTCCACCCAGATCTGAGCTGGCGAGCAGCGGATATTCTCCCACTCATTACCAACACACCAAAGTCACTTCCGGTTATGTAACCAGCACTGTGTGTACCTCCAAGACACAGATATGGAGAATCTCAAGTAAAATATGATGGAGGTGATGCCCTGCCCCTATATACAGTGATTATATCAGCTGCTCATTTACAAGAATACTGCTGTGTTTTGATATATGATGGCACTGAAAGATTACAGCATGGCCTTTGTATTGTATGGTACTTCAAGATATTTTAAATATCAATAGCTATTTTAATACACTTTGATTACCATATATAATTAATTTAAGAATAAAAGTGAAAGAATAAAATGACACATTTTAAAAAGCATGCATGGGAATTATCTTATAATAGCATGATGTTGGCTTTATTTACCAAAAAACATGGTACTTTGATATTTTCTGTACCATGGCAGTGAATGATTACCATATGGTAATTGCATGGTACTCTCTAAGGTATTTTAAATATTAACAGCTACGTATATCTATTAATAGGCTATCATAAATTTGTAATGACAGTAATGGCATTAAAGTAAAAATAATGTAGGTAAAATAAAGAAGATGGCAATTTACATGTAAAAAAACTTCTGAAATATGTTTATATAATGGCAAGATCGGATCGGATTAAAAAAAAAAAAACATTTTACCATAATACAATGTGTCCAGTGTTTGGTATGCTTGTATTAGTGAAACAATTGCTCCTTTATTGGATTAAATTATTGATACATTCATATGAACTGGCATTTCATGCATTAAGAAAAAAAACTGTAACTTACTGTAATTTATATGTGGCAATGGACTAAAATGACTGTAGGAGATCATCTCGCTCAGGCCATGGACTTTCAAAGTCACTGAAATCTTCAGATTCGTGAGCATGTAAAGATCTTGGCCCGCTATTAACAACTTCTCAGAGTCTTAATTCAGTTTGTTCGACTGACTGTCTTCTCAATGAAGCAAATGATCATGGATGTGAGAAGCGTAAAGGTCAGCCAGACTCCACAGTTGATTTGTCCAGCGGGATCTTTGGCTAACGGCACTCTGGGACTTAATGAACCGCCGTTGTGTTTCGGAAAAACCAGGCAGAACTACAGGAACCTCGAAAACTGATGGTCTCGCCAGAAGTAGCTTGGTCTCGGGCAAAATGTAGACGCTAATGACTGGAAAGGAATTATTATCACCTTTGCTCTCAAGCTTGCTTTTAAAGCTTTATTTTAATAAAACCTCCAGAGAGCAGCAAAACTGTCTGTTCTAGCCTTACAAGCTGAACAAAACATTTCTTTTGTGGTTACATACTGCAGACTCACTTGAGACTCTCCGTCTGCGTATTATTTAGAAGAACTCATTAGCAAAATTATGCCAATGCATGTTTCTTCATATTATCCCACAAGGTTAAATGCTGAGCTCAGATATTGCTTTATGGGGTTGAAATTTGACCGAGCCACCATCCGAACAACCACTGATGTGCCCTAAAGCCTGATCCATTTTTATAAGCTGTAAAAGGTGGCAAAATAATGTTAAGTGTATTTTGATTTGATATATAACCAAAATAAGGCTAATTTATTCAATTAACTAGGTAAATTTTAGCTTTTTCATTAGTGCCTCTGTTGGCTGTTGCAGTAAAGAGTACTAATCTGAAACCTCATTGGTCTGTTTGCAGTTTCATGCATATGATTTAGTCTAATTTTCTAGTCCAAAAAGCATACCGTAATCAAGATCTTTCTCAGCACTAAAGATCCATGTACACAACAAAACTCATTTGCATCATTAATTAGGCAGATTAAAAATGTATTCCACGGAGTTATTTGGAGTGAGGAGAAAGCTCTTCCAGCGAATGTTCAAGTTTTCCAGGAGGCCAGACCGTAATAATTCAGTGTCAGAGTCCGTCCACTGTGAATACGACACACAGCTAATGAAAGTTTTTGCCAATGTCGTGTAGTGAGGTCACTGTAAAGTCTTCTTTGAATATTTAAAATCATTATTCATTGTAAAGTTTAATAATAACTTGTATATAAAAAAGGATTTTGATTGGCTGCCAATGATTTGATCATTTTTCAGCTGGAAAAAAATGCTCTTAAAAAAGTGATTGTAAAGATATTGTTTGGACCTTTCCTGGTGTGGATGAGTCTAAATGATCATTTGACTGCATGGCGACAGCTCGACTCCAAATGAGGTTGTGCGTTAGTAATGGTGATGTCAAACTTTTTTCTCCCTGCAATTCCACGTTTATATCTCACAATTACACAAGCTTATAAATTGAAATAAATTTAAATGGGAATTGTTACACTGTAAAAACATATTGTTGGTTTAACTTAAAAAAGTAAGTAACCTGGTTGCCTTAATCTTAAGTTCATTGAACTGGATAATACAATGAAGGAGATTAATTTAATCATCAGAAACTCAAAATTCTATGTTATCTGAACTAAATAAATTATTTAAGTTGATTTGACAAAAGAAAAAATGTTGTGATTACTACACTGTAAAAAATATTGTTGGTTTAACTTAAAGTAAGTAACCTGGGTTGCTTTAATTTTAAGTTGATTGAACTGGAAAAAGTGAGTTAATATAATGAAGGAGATTAATTTAATCATCAGAAACTCAAAATAATAAGTTATCTCAACTAAATAAATTATTATGAAGTTGATTTGACAAAAGAAAATATGTTGTGATAACAAATCTTGACAATATTTTTTTACAGTATAGACAAATTCACAATTGTGAGGAAAAAAGTCAGAATTGTGGAATAAATCACATCAATATAAATAAGTCAAAATGAACTTTTTTAATGTTTTATTCCATGGCAGAAACAAGCTTCCATAGACAAAGGCGAATGTGAGGAAATATCTGGGTCCTGAATGCCATCATTGACCAATCAGAATCAAGTATTCCAGAGAGCTTTGTAATAAGGGTTTAAACGGATAGTTCAACCAAAAATGAAAATTCTGTCATCATTTACTCGCCCTCGTATTGTTCCAAACCTTTAAGACTTTTGTTCATTTTCAGAACACAAATGAAGATTTTATTTTACGAAATCTGAGCGACAGCGACACAACTACCACTTTGACGCTTCGAAATAAAGTTCATTAAAATCGTAAAATTACTCCATATAAATTAAGCAATTTAGTCCAAAAATTTCGGAAGGCATAAGATTGCTTTATATGATTGATAGATTGAATTTTTTATTCACATATAAATATTGATCAACGAACATAAACAGAAGCTTAAGCTTAGAACCAACCTCCCTCAAAGCTCAAACGTGATGCGTAACACGAGAACGAACCTCATTGGTTCTTGCTGAATCTGTGTAACATGAGAATGATCCTCATTGATTCTTGCTGAAGCTCAAAATCATTCTAAATATAAAAGATAATGATAACGGCACAGAGAAACAATATAGGATTTTGTTCCAGCTGATGAACAATAAAAACATTGACAACCAATCAGAATCCATCCTGCTTTAAAGACAACACGGCAGCGCTTAGAATAAACATAACGATATCGTTCTTGGTGTTAGCGTGCCTTTGCAAGTAAAGCGCAGAAGCAATGACAGAATAACACAGGGCAGACGGTCTGAGAGGGGTTTCCTCAGTAGTTCCAGGATGCAGACATTAAGGTAAATATAACCCAAGCTGCATCAGTGCCAGTGACCGCTTTCCCCTCCTCCTCCTCCTCCTCCTCCTCCTCCTCCATCTCCTGCGGTCATCTCAGATTCTGTGCCAGCAATGCATTTGAGATGATTCATAGGATTCTGCTAATGGTCATTGATAGTCTATTAATTAAGGCTCGTCTGAATTAGTGATAGCTGAAAAGTAATTAAGAAGTAGACTTTAATTAAGCATTTTCTAGAAAATATATGTACAGTTAGTGATGTGCTGTTGCTGTCAGGTTGAGCGTTATGGATTTTTATAACGGAAGATGTGAAAAACACAGGCCGTCTTACAGATCGTACTAAAGAGACATGTTGTGGTGTAACTCTGAGGCGGTGTGTGTCATTATCAAATTCAGAGCTCGGGGGCAGCAGAGACATTATATGACACCAGGCAGCGCCATTAAACAGGGACGGTTACTTATAAGACCAAGAATTCACTGTAAAGAAAAGAGCAGTGACCTTCTGCAGGGCTCAGATCTGAATTAAAGCGCTGGAAATGCAAAAACAAAGGAGATTAAAAAACAAGGTTTTCCCAAAATGCATGGTGCAAGAGCCCTGAAAGGCCTTTTTGGCCAAGTGTAAGTCAATAGAGAATGCCATTGACTGCCTTTAAATTTCCAATCTCCATTAAAACGTCTCGAGTCTCCCAATGGATTGCCATTTAACAAGCCAGCAAATAAAACAAATATATGGCAGTACAAGGAACAAAGACAGAGATGTCACACAATTCTGTGATCTGGCGGTACGGCATCGTGTTTAATGGAGCTCATCTTGATAACATCTGTGATAATAACCAAACTCGCTGCTCGACGATTAGAAAGACCATATGCAAATCTGATGCACCAAGCCTCAAAACGGTTTTAGATTGTGGGTGGCAAAATGAAAACAGGAATTGTCCCCAATGCATATGTTAATAAGCGAGATATCCTCTTATATTTAGGGCCGTGGTCCTCATCAGGGCTGTCAAAGGTCTTTTGCTGATAAGGCAACTCCCTGCTTCAGTCTTAAAGATTACATTGATCCAAACTTCATTTATGCCAAGATGCACTCACTGCTGCAGTGAAGCTTTTGCACTGGTGTTCATCTGAATCAGTGGAGGGCTGCACGCTCATGCGAGCGAGATGCGGAAAGCACATTTGCTGTCAGATTGTGGAGGGAATACATTAAAACCCATCTCATTTCCAACTGGAATGCGTACTGAAAACATCACACTCGCTTGCCTTGGTTGTTTCCAAATTATTTAAATTGTGCACAAACCGTTTGCAGCATTTTCATTAAGATAATCTATAAAGCTGTTCTACCTGGAGACTGTTGCCATGCAGCTCACCGCAAAGATTTCAGGTTTTATTATCCTAATTTGGTCTTATAATTAATGCAAAACCTGACCCACATGCATGCACACAGTTGCAGGTGCATTCATTCAATGCATCAAACACGTCTTTTTATGTTATATTCTTTTATTTCATCAAGATGCAATGCAGGCTGTGCACAAGCACTTTTAGTGCATTCAGATATCTAGCTGATCCGAAATATGTTGATGGTCGCAAGTGCATTCGAAATATGTTTATTATATAGGCTATTCCTATTTCTATAAGAACCCTAAAGGCAGCAATGGTGCGCTTCAGTGATTATTCGCGAGATTAAAGTGGTGACATCAGAAGCGTTGACACCGGCAGCTTTCCATTGGTTTAGTGCAAACGTGATGACATGAAAGGGAGTTGGAGCTCCAAGTATAAAACTCCAGCAGGCGCACAAACCCACGCAGCGCGCGGACTGAAGGACTGCATCTCTGCTGCTCTTCTGCCGAATCCACCCTTCATCATCACACTTCTCATCCAGCATGAGTGAGGTGAGTAACCCTCCGTGCACGATGGATGCACCACTCTACTGTAACGAGGTTTCCCCAGGGCAGGAGGAGATTCTCCTTCAGTGTTAGGGAGGACTCATTGAGACAATGCCTTGAACTTGCGTTGATTGCAGTCGCATATTTCCCTGTTTGATGAGTTCGCGCGCATTTTTCCATTTTTCCATTTTTCTTCACTTCACCAGCAAAACCGTTTAGAAAGCTGAAATGCCATCCACACCATGTTTAATAGGCTACAGCTTAGAAGAGCGCGATGGATATTGTGAATATTTTTTGTTGTTGTTGCATCTGCGCGCGCGGGCAGATTGTCGAATCAGCATTATCCACGCGCGATGATTAATGATGCAACAAATGACAGCTGTCAGTTAAACCTCAACCCGAACCTGGGGTGACACGGAGATGGTTGATGGATGATAAGCTACTCTCATGATTTTTAATTCGAATTTAGTTTGACGCTTTTAAGTCGATAATGTTTGCATAAAATTGCCTACTAGGCTACAGTTTGGTATAAAATTGAATTATTGCGGTTTGCACTAACAGTGGCGCCACCTCGACTTGTTTAATGTTTCTACACGTTTTCCGCCTTGCCTTTAGCATACCTGACGTTTTTGGACACATGGTTTCGGGATTTATCTTTGAATTAGGGCTGAATTTAAAAACTAATTTGAGGATAAAACTTAAACACACAGTTGTTGCATACCCAGATAGCACACGTAGCCTACATCTGCATGATGTCTGTTAAAGATCGCATCTGCTGTTTACTAACAGTTTAACGTGCATTCTAAATCATTACATCTTAAAGACATCTTCTAAACGTCTATTTGACATCTGACAGGAAAAGTCCTATAGACGTATAGCTACACTCTAAAAAAATCTTTATCAGCACCAGCTTTGGGATCAATTCAAAAGCTACCCGGCTACTAGGTATCTTATGGCGCTTTTCCACTGTACGGCTTAATACGGTTCGGCTCGCTTCGCTTTAGCTCGGTTGCTTTTCCACTGCAGTTAGTACCGCTTTAAAGTGGGTGGGATTATAGACTGAACGATAACAGCGGTGGCTATTTAAATCTAGCGGGTTTGGTTTCTCGTGTCGATGTCTATTGGTCGCAAATACAATGACGCTGGTAGTGACGATTCTGTCTGACCAATCAGAGATCTGCAGTGTTTCACGTCACATTCTACCCATCGGGATTTGCTACTTACCGGTTATGCGCATGTGTAGACTCACAGTTTTTTTTTTTATTATTTATTTTTTTTTTTTTTTTGTAAAAGGTAAAAGGTACATTTTCCTGTTATAATGTATAATTTCCCTTTAAAAAATGCTTACTACCATATGAATATTTGTACGGTCAGCCAGCTGAAAAAGAATAAGTTCAGTTACTATGAAGAAAGGTGTACTTTAACAAGTCAAAGTCGAATATTTTATGATAATTTTTACTTTTCACACCGTTTTAAAAATAAAAACAGTAGTCTACAGTATACAGTAGCTACTCATAACTTAGAATTGTATTGTAATTGTATTTCATACGACTTTAATCGGCATTCTGTGATCAATTCGCACTACCGTAGCATTTTTCGACAAGGCGGCAAAAATCGACAGAACACCGGTACGGTACGCTTGGAACCTCAACAGAGCAGGTACCATTTAAAGTGAGCCGAAGCGAGCAGTACCGTACCGTACCATGCAGTGGAAAAGCTCCGTTGTGGTCTACGGTCGAGTACGCTCCACCTATCGGCAATTGTAACGCTTACTGTAAAGCTAGTCAGATTTGTAGTTTTCTTATGTCTCGTTCGGACTACAGAAACGCGTCCGATCTGAAAATCTTACACAGGAAGACAGGAATTTAAAGTAACATTGCATTTATCTAGCATTTATCAGTTTTGGACGCATCCCACTACTGCCTTGTGCGCCCTCCAAATCCCCGAAGTAGCCGCGCGTCTTGTCTTTGGTACTGAGCGTGTGTGTGTGTGTGTGTGCATAGAGCATGCCGACCCACTGCAGCCGATGAGGAGCCTCTTCATGCACAGATGGATCAGGGAATGTTATATAAATGATTATTCTAGTCTCATTTAAAAACATGCGTTAATGTTGTATTTGCTAAAAGAGCCTAATCAGGCTTGTTGCTGCACTGCGCTTCTTTTAATCAGTCTGTCGGCCCATTCAAGCATATTTGTCAAATAAATGAACAGAGGGAGCACATGGTACCCAGAAATGCTGGATAGAGCAACACAAGCTGGGAGCTCCTCCATATCGACTTCAAACGGCAGTCTTGAATTATTGAACATCAGCAGGACTTCTCACTGAAGAGCCGAATTTTACTCTTTTACTAAGTGTTTACATGCACAGAAGATTGCAGGAATTCCAGAATGTGGGCGGGAACAAGAGGGCAAATGTATGCGTGTGTGTATAAATATACATATACACACACATATACAAATGCATACATAAATGGTGTACCAACACGCATATATAAATATATTATAAATATATATACACACGTATTATATAAACACATTTTTTGTTTTTGATGCAATTAAACGATTTGGCAGCAGATTTTATATCGATTGGACTGTAGTGTTTGCATACATTTACATTTAATTCACTATTGGTACATCAAACCACCTTGAACGTTTACCATTAGATTGTAAAATTTCAGTGAAAAGCAGCTTGAGTTTCAGTTGCACAAGTCACATGAACCACTTTTGCAATATATTTACGGTTTAATATTCCCAATTTCAAGGTAGAAACAAAGTAATACAGCTTAATATAGAAAAATTAGATGGCAAAACACAAGAGCTGTCCTGTTTGCAAGAATATGCCTGAATTAGAGAGGGAGCGTTGGATATGTTTTGGAGTGTAATCTCTTTATGCCTCGAATGAGCTCTCGGACACATTTACCTGATTAGGTATCTGATTCATTCTGTTTAAACAGGGATTTAATATATATGCCCTGATAATACACAATCAGACAAAGAGATCTGGCACAATCTGTGGTGGCCTCAACTGGATTGATTTGAGAGTGGAGGAATTATTTCTCTCTTTGCCTTCCCATTATTCAAAGCCACTGCTGTCCATTGGTCAGAACATGTGTACATTACAAAGCTACAGAATGAGACCATACTAAATCCAAAAGGGCCAGATTTGGAGGGCAGAACCGAGATTGAAACGCTGTCCACACAGAGATATTAAGCGGATTTGTAGATGACTTTTGTTGCTGTGTAGGATTATGTAACACAAGATGGATTTGTATCTGGACCATAATAGGGGTCGTCTTCTGACATCTGGAATAAAGGCCGGCTTCAAGTGCTCTTGAAGTTCTTGCATACGAGTCCGGGAGTCGTAATTGCAGTGTGGAGAGCACTCAAGAGATTTTTGAGCAGTATCATATTTTTCATATTTTCTGTTGTTTCAACTTTCAAAGACTTGAAGCATTTTTAGTGCTATAGAGGAATCTGCTACTGAGGATCATGGGAAATGTAGTTTTCTCATTTTCAGGCTATTTGAGGTTTTTTTTTTTGGCAAGCTGTGCACTCATCTACTTAAATGTTGAGCAGCAAGTTCATCGGTTGCATAACAGGAACCAGTGCCGCATATTTAACAATGTAATTATCAGCAGGTGGCATTAAAGGAGTAGTTCACTTTTAAAAAAACTTTTGCTGATAATTTACTCACCCGCATGTCATCCAAGATGTCCATGTCGTTCTTTCTTCAGTTAAAAAGAAATTAAGGTTTTTGATGAAAACATTCCAGGATTTTCTCCATATAATGGACTTCAATGGGGTCCAAACGGTTCAAGGTCCAAAAGACGGTTTCAGTGCAAACTGTTCAAAGGACTCTAAACGACACCAGACGATGAATAAGGGTCTTATCAAGCGAAACGATCGGCCATTTAAAAAATAAATAAAATTTATATGCGCGTTCATGACTCTCCTGTTCGAATTCATTCATCAAAATGAACAAACCTTTTCCCGAGTCAATTCGTTCGTTGAATGAGCCAAATGACTTGGAAAAAGATTTGTTCATTTTGATGAACGAGTTCGAACAGGAGAGTCACGAATGTGCATTATAGAACTTAAACTTTTTTATTTATTTTTGAAATGGCCGATCGTTTCGCTTGATAAGACCCTTATTCATCATCTGGAATCGTTTAAAGCCCTTTGAACAAGTTTGCAGTCTGCACTGAAACTGTCTTTTGGACCTTGAACTGTTTGGTCCCCATTGAAGTCCATTATATGGAGAAAATCCTGGAATGTTTTCATCAAAAACCTTAATTTCTTTTCGACTGAAGAAAGAAAGACATGCACATCATGGATGACATGGGGGCGAGTAAATTATCAGCAACATTTAAAAAAAAAAGTGAACTACTCCTGGACCGATCGATGACAGAACTTGGTGTAGCCTATATATATATATATATATAAATTGATTTGTTGATTTGCTAACCAATAAACTTTTTTTTTCTTTTAATTTGCAACTCGTCTTTTATGTTACACTCAAATTGAGAATAATTAATACTTCGGACTTCATTTCCGACAGTATTCTCATTTTGACTCACTCAAGCCTTGTGCCAATGACGGCCATGTTGCTTATATCGAAAGAGTAAAGTGTTGCTCATTCGTGTAATTTTGATCATCATTTGTGGTTTTCTGCCATAGCATTAGCAGTAGAGATAAATTACTGAGGGTTCCCATACACCACATAATCTTCCCCTTATAAAACAATCTATTGGAGCGACATCTGAACTGAGCAGCTCCATGTGTGCGGTGAACACAGCGATGAGCTTGATGGAGATCAAAAGCAACTTATGGCCCTCAAGTGCAAACACTGGACGTAATCAGGCCTGACAATCGATGTTTTTATACATAACGGCCCAGCGCTTCTGCATCTTCCACGCGGATAAAGAGGAAATGCGCGCTCGACTGTGTGTGTGTGTGCATGGGGGAACCAGACTGAACACGCGTAAACAGCGGCCCCCAAACACACA